TTTGTTATCCTCCTTGACTACATATTAAGAACTTCCTTTAATAGACATCATCTAGGTTTTACTTTATTACCAAGACTCTCAAGTTGATATCCTGCAAAAAGTTGACAGATATTGACTATGCAGATGATATAGCTATCACTGCATGCCACAGTTCTCTGACATCATCTAGATAATATTGCCAATGATGTTGGACTATGTCAAAGCCCCTAAAACTGAGTTCATAGGCTTCAACCAGCAAGGCTCAATACAAACTGTCTCAGGTGAATCAATAAAATCTATCGAATCTTTTACATACCTAGGAAGCAAGATAAATTCTACTAAAAAGGATGTGAAAATTTGCATAGCTAAAGCCTGGGCCACCTTGAATAAAATGGATATAATCTGATCTACTAGACAACCTCAAGTGGAGATTCTTTCAAGCCACTGTAGAGGCAGGGTTAATGTATGGTGCCATTGCCTGGACATTAACTAAAAGCCTAGAGTCTAAGCTTGGATGCTGAGAGCTATACTTAAATATCTCTTGGCAAGAACTTCCAACTAATTCACATCTCTATGGACCCAATCTTGATATTTCTACAATTTTACATGAATGCACTTTGCAGAACACTGCTGGTGAGCAAAACAAGAACTTTTGAGTGATCTACTGCTCATGACACCTTGCCAAGGAGCAAGACGAGTTGGCCGCCCAGCAACCGCCTACATTGACCAGCTATTTTATGATACAGAATGCCTTCCTAATGACCTTCTGACCTTGACACAGAACCATGGTGGGTAGTGTAATAGTCTCATGAATGTCTGAGCTGGCTCAACTGAATAAAATAAATAAATCAGCAGGCATTAATATTTTATTTAATTTTTATCTTCCAAAATTACAGCTATACATCCTTGTGCAAATTAATTGAAACAACTGCTTTAGTTTCCATACAGTCAGTTTTAGACCCACTGGAGTGACAGGGTGTAATTAATTTCAGTTTTTTCCTCAGTGTAAGGTATTTGCAGTGGTGTGCAGTAATATGAATCTATTTTCAAAGTGTGTAATGAAATTTGTTTGGCCTTGAAAAATATTGCATCATCCGTGATTGCATCAGATTTTTATCGTGCTCGGACTGTTGATTAGTTGTCCTAGGGCCATTGTCTGTGATGGACATTACTCTAAGGAAGCATACAAAAATTTGTAATGCTTCACAAACAAGCTGGCAAGCCTTAACAGTGAGCGAATCAAAGTACTAGAATGGCACAGAAACTCTCCTGATTTAAATCCAATTGAGAATCTGTGGTCAGTCTGCAAAGAATGACTTTGTGGAATAGACATATGAAGTACTAACATGTGCACTGGGTCATGTTTCATTGGGAAAATATGAAAAATGGAAATAATAACAGAATTATTAATTTTGTTTCAATTAATTTGCACAAGTGTATATATAAAATTCATTATACATGGCAAAAGTGTTTCATGTCTAGCCCTCAAAATTTCATTTATTGGACTAAAGGTTTAATGTAAAAAATATATTTTTATCCACTGATTTGTACTGGCTTCTATCATCATCATGGTTGTTATTCTAATATTTCAGCCACTGTACTCTGCGGTTTTCTTCAAATTTCTATTATGGTAAAATGGGAATTGTGATTTTTTTATCCAAAATATATATCCCACTTTTCATTGTAAGCTTAGCAGAAACAAAAAATGAGATGCAATTTTAAACTTTTCCAGAAGGTGCATTATGAAGACTCTCAAATGAACAGGCTGGTAGACAAAAATTTACAGAGTTTCAAAAACCAGCAATGTCTATCTACTAAAAATATTGTTTAGAATAATAAATAGTAAAAAGCTTCCTTAGTTCCAATAATTTTGCACCACACATTAGTAGTTTATAGTAAGTGTTATATGTGGTGTGAAATTGTTGGACAAATGAGGAACACACTAAAAGTAATGTTGATTTCCACAGAAACTATAACAGACACAAAGAGCACAATGACACTGTTGGATAGAGCAAGTTTTCAATTACAAAACACTTTTTTCAGTCGCCAACATTTCCAACCAACCTGATGAAGATGAGTGCTCTTAAATTTTAAAATTCTAAAAAACCAATAATGTTTTTGCTCTTGTATATAAATACTTGTTACAAAATAATATCCTTGCATTTACCTTGATGAAGTCCCTCAGAGGATAAAATGAGGTCATTTAGGTTTTCCTTTTGTCTTTATTCATTGTTCTTTTACAGATATACTCTATGTGAAATTTTTACACACATTATATACACACACAGAGCTACCTATAATGCACCATTGACTAGCATGCACATATATATCTCCTTCCTCTTACTATCACTTTGTATTCATGTTCTGCTATCCATTTACACAAGTTCATTAGTTATATTACTTGCTGTTTCTCTCTACCCATCTTTTCTTCAAAATGTTCTGAGAGTGTCAAATTCTCTAAGCACACTTTTCTCATTGCCTCTACCAGAAGTATCAATCTTCTCTTTCTGATCCTATACAAAAGTTTCCTTTTCATTCCCATTTTCCTTAAAACTTTCTCATTGCTTACATGCTCTGTCTATGGTATCCTTAGTTTTCTTCTGTAGAAACCACATATCTGTTGCCTCAAATTTCCTGTTTATCTATGATAAAACTGTCCAGCATTCACTGTTATATAGGAAGACTGATACTACATAACAGTTGAGCAAGCTTATCTTTGTTTCCAATGTTTCTCCAAATTTTGCTTAGTTTCTCAAAGGCATGTTTTCACTTTAACATTGCTTCATCTCCGTTGTTGTGTGTTACTCTGATTAGTTGTCTGTTTGCATGAGTTTTGTTATCCTAGATGACACACTTGAACAAGGCACTTTCATACATGTTGATATTGTAACTCCTGAAACAGATGATCACTAACAAAAAAAAAAAAAAAAACTGGTAGAGGAGCAATCAAGATATGCTTCTTATTTTAATTCTTTTTAAATAGAAAAGATCATTTGGAATGAGTGGGGAGCCTAACTTAATAGTGCAGAAAGTGGAATAATTAGTTTAGAATCAGTCAGTTGCATTTACTTTCACACTAATGCCCAAGGGAAAGGCATAAATTTATCTCTTAGGCTTGGCTCTTGAGCCTTACGTGCAACCAGTTTAAGAGAAGGAAAACTCTGAATTCTAAATTGTGAAGAAAACAAGAAACCATGATACTTTCTCAAGAAAGTCATGGCAATTCACAGATAATAAAGAAAAATACCACTGAAGCGCCATGATTGCCTATGTCCTGATTAAAGAATAAGTACACTGTAGTCAAATGAGTGTATTATTATTTTATTATTGTTTACTACTTTTTTGTATTTAGTGTATTATTATTTCATTTATTTTATTCTTTAGAGTACTGCAACAAACAGGAATTAAGTATATAAATTCTACAAAACACCAGAATTATGATATTCTTAAATTAAGGATTTGTAATTATGCAATACATTTTACTTTTAATTTTTTTTTAGTGTGGTTAATCATCATAATTTGATTCAGTCGATTTATTTTCAGATGTCAGTTTGAAACCTGAACAAGTTCCGGGTTCATTATTTTAAAACAATTGAACTTAAAAAAAAACTTTATCCGGGACAACACGTTTTGTACTTCAGCTTATACAAGTTTTTAAATACTTATGCAAACTCTTTTGAAGACATTGATAGGAATTCCACGACTATTTTCCACGGTACGCGGCGGTTTTCTTAAAAAACTCACCAAGCGACAAAAATAGTTTCGATATTCGTCTATAATAGAAATAAAGTGACTTTCTTTAACCATTTAATTTGTAGTTTTTACTTTTTGCTTAATTCCCGTTTTTTTTCTTCTTTTTTTCATTTATTAAAAAAAAGAAGAAGAAGAAGAAGAAAAAGCAGAAACTTGTCATTTTTTTTTTTAGATATCAGTCCTACTTTTCAAGGATCGTAATTATTTTTAGTTTCATTTTCTCTGTTTCAACATCCAGACTGGCTGACTACTGTCGAGTTTCCCGTTTGAATATTTTACTTGTTACTCACAAGTTGTTAATAAAAACAAAACAAAACATCAGCATGGTTGATAATATATTATTTTTTTGTATGATTATACAATTGCATGTAACAAGTCAAAATTATGGGCGTGGCAAAACTAGTCTATTTATTAAAACATCTTATTGTTTATTGTTGTTGGGTAACATTAACAAGAATGTATCATCGTTGTGTAATTAACGAGTTCGTTTCCTTTTTGAATTAATAATAATAATAAATAATTTTTTAGTTATCCCGGCGGCCGATATATTTACTGAAAAAAAAAAAAAAAAAAAAAAAGTTCCCGGCACCGAAGATTTAAAAATAAAGAAAGATTAAATACCAAAAATGTAATCAGTCTTGGAAAAAAAAAGAAAAAGAAACGTTGTCTAACAACAAGGATAATTTTTTTTTCAAATATGTTTATTTTAAAAATAATTATTTTTATTAGTCAACCCGTTGAGGGCGAGGTTTAATTTTCAGTTGGTTGGATTGGGGTGGGAATCTTTCGTTTTTAAAAGTAAAAGTTGCTAAGAGTGAGGACTGTTGGGCCCACGCCCTATATCAGAACTTTGGAAATTCGAAATATTTATAACATTTATTTCGTAAGGTGAAAAAAAAAAAAAAAAAAAGGAAGAAGAAGGATTCTGGAGACATGCTGTTTCTGGGAGGATGCCATTTTATAATCGAACGTTTATTTAACTTTTGAAAAAGTTCTGTTTTTTGTATCAGAAATATTTAAAAAATTTAATTGAAGGACATAAAAAAGGAAACATGGTTGGTTGAGAGAAAAATTCTTACTTAAAAAAAGAAAAAAAAAGAAAAATTTACCTTAAAAATATCTTTTACAAAAGATTTTTTTTTAATTAGTATAAAAAAATATACACAAAAGATGCCTTTTTGAAACCCACAAGTCAACTCTTGAGAATCAGAATAAGAACAAAAACACACTTTAAAAACTTTGAACATAATGTATATAAAGCGGCATACCTGAGACTGGAAATGGTGCGTTTGTGAGGCAAAAAACAAGAAATATACATTGAAACCCAAGTCGAAGTGCCAACATTTCCGAGTGCAGCACGATTCTAAATAACAACAATGTGCAGTGCGTCAGTGTAAAAAGAGAAGAAAAAGCAGAGGCATTTGGTTGAGTTTCCGTAAAAATGAAGAACGCATGTAAGGGAGATAACTAAGCCAGAAAGAGTTTATTCCAACTATGATTTCTCATTATGTCATTGTTGTGGATAAAATACATGTAAAATTTTTACTAATTTAGTAATCATTTTATCAAAAAAAAAAAAAAATTTTGGACCGACATTAAATTAATCTACTACCGAAAAGTTATTTGTTAGTGTTGTGTTTTTTCCTTAATATTTAGAGAAATATTTGTTACAACTGAAATAAAAATCATTTTCTCTCTTTTGATGAAGATTGTAAAAGATTTTTTGGGTATATTTACCAAGCCTCCTCATTAAGGCAGGATGTGACACAAGGTCGTTTTAAATTGGGGATTACCATATGCATATGGACCAAGGACAAAAATTGTTGTTTTGCCCAGCCCCAGTGACAATTGTCATGCTATTGGTATTTATACCAACCCTACATCTCTTACTGCAATGAGGAAGGTGCTGCCACATGATAGGAATCCCCAGGGCTGAGCAACTTCTCCCATCTAAAATAAGCTCCAATCACTACACATAAGCCATAATCATGCCTCAGACAATCCTCATTAGCTAAAGGTTAACTCCTTAAAAGATTTTAGTTAGTTTACAAATTTAAAAAAAAATATATTTAAAAAGACAAAGTGAAGCAGTGACCTTAGTATTGTGGTCAATAATAATTCTTTATTGAAGAAAGCCAAATTGAAATGATCAAAATTTTAAATTGACAATACACTCTGTATAAATCAAGCATTAGAATCAGACAGGATACATTGTTTGTGTTCATTTAGGACAATTATAATTCTTGTAAAACTATGTTACTCATGTTTGTTTACATTATAAAATTTCAATATAGGATGTGAAGGTGGTATAATGGCTGGTGGCCCAAAATGAGAAATTGGTAAGCCAAGTTTAAATTCCTGTTGAGTTTATTATGTCTGTAGGGACATTATTATTATTATTATTATTATTATTTTTATTTTCTTTGATTTCTGGCGTTTACACATTTCTTTCCGGGTCCCACCCAGGGACCTAAGGTTAGAAATGGCGTCATGACACTTTCCACTGACAAAAAAAAAAAAAAAAAAAAAAAAAAAGAAAAAGATTACATAGATAAAGCCCTTCGTAAGGTGTGGGCTGTACTTGTTAGAACAATTTTCTGTATCTCCTTGAGGCATGGACTTCCAGGTATCCCTTCAATTAGTCTACTGGAATCTTTTCCAACCAGTCCTAGGGCTCCAACTACAACAGGGATTGTTGATGTTCCCATATGCCACATTTTTGCGATTTCCTTGTACTTTGACAACTTTTTGAATATCTTCAAAGATACATTGCAGTCGGCAGGGACTGCCATATCAATAAGGAGGCACCGTTTTTGTTTATGGTCTTTAATAACAATATCTGGGCGGTTGGCCTTGATTGTTCTGTCAGTGTGTATTGTGTCGTCCCATAGAATTGTAACAGGTCCTATCTCCGTAACCGGGTCTGGGTGGTGTTCATACCAGTTTCTTTCAGTTTTCTTCCCGTAGAAGTTGCAGATTTTCCAGTGCAGATATTGGCCCACTCTGTCATGTCAGGTTTTATATTCAGTGGGTGCCAACACCGTACAACCTGCTACAAGAGGATCAATCGTTTCTGGATATTTATCACAGAATCTGCATTTTGGACTGACACAATATTTTAGTATATGTGCTTGATAATTCCTAGTTAGCAAGCATTGGTCCTGCGCAGCAAGGATAAAACCTTCAGTTTCCACTTTCAACCCTGCACCACGTAGCCACTGATGGGTACGGGTTTTGTCTACGTCAGCTTGTTTGGTATGGGCAGAGTATTGGCCATGAAGCGGTTTATCTTGCCATCGCTTCTGTAACTGGTCTGTTGCATTCGTCTTAGCTATCTTTTTTAGGTATTTTGCAGTTTCAGCCGGTGTATTGTGCTGTAGTTGCATCTCTACGCCCATTTAGAACTCCATTTTGAATTTGTTGGCTTCCTTCATTACGGAGTAGAGACGCTTACTACTTTCATGTTCCTTGACGCACACCATCATCCAGTCTTCTGTAGTTTCCAAATATCTTTGGCGGCCAATTGTTGTAGTTTTGTAGGACAGTTCTAGTTGAACTAATCCTCTGCCTCCTTTGGATCTGGGCACATACAGACGGTCGACATCAGCTTTGGGATGATGCATGCGATAGCAAGTGAGTAGCTTTCTCGTTTTGGCATCCAGTCGCTTAATTTCAGCTATGGTCCAGTTAAGGACATTAAAGCTGTATTGCACCACAGGGACAGCCAATGTGTTTATGGCTGATATCCTGTTTTTGAGTTCAGCTCAGTATTTAGTACCAGACGTACACGCCTGTAGTATTCTTTTCTTATTTTTTCCTTCATTTGGGGGTGTTGTATGCCATCTCCTTCGCTAATTCCTAGGTACTTATAAGCTTCACCATGCTCCAGTTCCCTAATCTTTTGTGACAAAATCTAAATCTATTAAGGGTGTTTCTGTAATTCTACCTTTCTTGAAAGTTACTTTTGCACATTTATCTAATCCGAAGTCCATACCTATGTCGTCACTGAAGTATTTTACAATATTGAGGAGGCCTTTCAACTCATTGTCGTCTTTGGCAAAGAGTTTGAGATCATCCATGTAGAGTAGGTGATTGAATATTTTCTTATTTATTTTGTAACCATAGCTACTGTTGTTCAGTTCATGTGTAAGAGGGATTAAGGATAAACAAAACAGAAGGGGTGACAGAGAGTCTCCTTGAAAGATTCCATGTCGGATATTCAGACGGTTGGATATGGCAGTGCCCCTGGTGTGACTAAGGTATAGTTTGGTGTTCCACATTCCCATGCTGTGCTTTAGGAAATTTAATACCACAGGGGAGACTTTGTACATTTCCAAAGTCTTAAGGATCCAAGAATGTGGAACACTATCAAAGGCTTTACGATAATCTTATTATTATTTTATTTATAAATTGTTTATTTTATTTATAAATTGTCTCTTCGTGTGTGGAAGAGTTTGTTCCAGTGGCAGACTTTTCGATCTCAGACTGGTTCCTCTCTGAGTGATGCGGCCCTTGTTGCCCCAGTTGACGGCTGATCCTGTATGAAATATTATTCGTATTCATTGAAATTAGTAGAGATGCGTTTTAACCTTGACCGCCAAGGGGTAGTTATGTTCAGATTACCAGCTGTAGGAAGAATCTGGAAGAAGATCCAGGAGCACGCCCATACAATGAGATTGTGGGTTTTTTGATATTTATTATTATTATTATTATTATTATTATTATTATTATTATTATTATTAATAAATGGAAATAAAAATATAAAATAATAATAATAATGAAAATTCATAAATAAAATAAAATAAAATAAATAACATCAAACTTTTGTTTAAAATAAATTAAATACCCCCCACCCCCCAAAAATAAAAATAAACTTTTCCTGTTGGAAAATGGACTTTGTGCCAAAAGACGCTTAGTTCATTTTCTTTACTAATGACTGTTGGAAGGTCAAGAGGTCCAGCTACACTCCTCAGGACATTGCTTGTTATAATACAAAGTGAATTCTTCCTTTTATCACATGCAACCTTAAAACATTTGTAACCAAAAAGACACACACACCAATACACTGGGTTAAGCCACTGGATCTAAAGCTAAACAGTAGCAATGTACAAGTATTAGTAAAACAGAGGAGGTGCAGGGTTACACATCACCTGACAGGGCACAATCCTTTCAAACACTTGTTCTCCCAAATCCAAAAATGCATAAAATTGCTCCCAGTTTACAACAAGTAAATTTCACACCTTGAGGAATGTTGAATGAAGATTAATCTGCAAAATTTATTTCCAAAAAAATCTTCTCCTATTTTTTACAAGTTGACTAATCTGCTTAAGTACAGCCAAATGGGATTCAAGTAATACCTAACAGGACTCAAGATAAATGTTTCCAAAGCAGAAACAATTACCTGGAATTGGATTGACAACAATGATGACACAAACATTGAATTCATGAAAATTCACAATTTGGAATGAGTAAATACTAAACACTTCAATTACCTCGGTATATTGATCAGCTATAATAAATTTAGTAAAGGTGATGTAATATAGTAACAGCTCTAAGTAGAAGCTTATGAAACTCTACTAATTACTAATTCAGCTTTTAATGCTGGGAAACATTTATTTTATTATGAAGCATGGTTATAAGCAAGAGGGGAGATGGGATGTGCTTGTTTTATTATCACAGGTGATAAGGAAATTAATACAGAATAGGCCCTGTTAGGAGTTGTTTTGTTCAACACTGCTAATCATTACAAAACCAAAACATTAACCTGAAAACTCAGGTTCATAAATAGTTCTGTTGGATTGAGACTTTCATATGGATATCATACATAGCATTAAACTTGTTCAGAAATATCTACACTGTCAGCTGTTTACAACTGCTAAGATAAATTGTTAAAAAAGGTTAGGAAGGAAACCCCCATCAATACTCAGCATAGAACTTAAGGCTGCATTTAGCCATTTTGACTGTAAAATAATGAGATCTTGCTACCAATCTAGTACTGCACTTAAATTCACAGAGTTTAGGTACCAGAGAGGAAAGCAATATTTATTTTGATAATACAAAAATGTGGCACAAGGCCAAAAGGCGGATAGCGGAAGGCTGGTCTTCAGTTTGACATATCTTATACTTAGCTAGCCATGATTACTGACCTAAACATACCACAATATTCCTGACACCAAAACAACACATTCTTACTTACCATTCTTACTACAGTCACCATAATACCTCATAGTCTCTATATAGCCCTAACTAGTTCTCATATGTACAATTTGTCTGGGGGTGGGAGATATGGTGATTTTTTAAGTGTAACTTAGATGTGGCACAAAGCTAAAAATATGGGACACCCAGTGAGGATCAAACTCACAATTCAGTTATAATTGTTCTAGTGGGACAAGCTTGTTAAATATTACATCATGTTGAGTTTTTGTTCTTGGGGACACATGGCCCAGTGTTGCTTGAAAACTTGATCCAAAGAGTTGTGAGTTCAATACCTGGCCACAGCAGAGGTGAGCAAAAACTTGGAGAGTTGAGTTACTAAAGGGAAATAACTAAAACTGAGCTATTCAGAAAAGGCATGGCATGTGGAACTAGAACAATCTACCCCAGTGGATGAAATGAAGGGTTGGGTTCAAAATTCCATTGTATATCACCTGGAGAAAGCTAGGGTGTACAATGGCTGAGATGTTGTGAATATGACAATAAAGATGAAGTCAACAGTCCACACAATGTAAATAGTGTAAATAATTACAATACTCCAACTCAGAAATATAGCCAGATACTAAAGAAAGCTGGAGCATACAATGGCCGAAACCATGTGAATATGATAACAAAGATGAGGACAACAATCTGAACAATGTAAATAGTGTAAATAGTTACAATAGCTCATCTCAGAAATATAGACAAATGTTGAAAGACAAACATGTTAGAAGGATTTGTATCAAATTAGCCTTTCAAAGAGACTTGCTTTATTTTCATAACAGTTCAAATTTATAGTTGTTTCATGCTTTTGTTATTGGATTTCACAAATGATTCTTCTTCTATGTATCATGTCTCTTCATAGTAGATAATGGCTTGCCACAGCTTCCTATCCTTTGTAGCTTTTAGTAAGGTTTGCCTTTTCACCATTTTTCCTAGTTCCTATTTTGACATCCATTTATACAAACCTGTTTGGTAGGTTTGCTCCTTTTCCCTTTTGTCTTCATTATGTTTTTTCAGTGTCAAATTCTATAATCTTTATTTTCTTATTATTTATTTAATAGATTTCAACTGTCTCTTTCTGAATCTAAGTATAAATATCTTTTTCTTCCAATTTTCTTAATACTTTCTTTTTACTCCCATGTTTAGTCCATGGTATTCTCAGCATCCTTCATCACAAGTGAATAGATGATGTCAATTGGTCGATAAATTTGTCATAGCCTTTCAGAACTTGTGCTCTTCAATGAAAACATAGTACTCACCACAACATCAACCATTCAAATGACACAAACTAGCTTAATTTTAGGCCAGCTCTGTGCATCCACTTCTAAGACAAAGAAGAAAAATTAAAAAGTTATAAAAATATTTTCTAAGTAGAAAATTGCCATACAGCTTCAATTAAGATTTTATTCTTGACACACTACTACATTATATAAACTGCCATAAATTAAACTCTGTGGCAAGAGGCTCATCCAAGCTACCTCAGTTATTAGTTTGCTCCATGCATATTTTGGCTGAGCATTCACCAAAGACATCTACCCATGAAAGCTTGATACTGATGACCAAAGATAGCCACAAAGACACCAGAAGTCTGTATCATAGATAGCAGCCAAGGTCACTACATGATGAATGCCTCTACTCCCACCACACGTTATATCTCATACACATATATATTTTTCTCACTGGCACTCATCTGATCACCAAAGTTAAGCAATGTCAAGCATGGTCAGTAATATGATGGGTGACCTCTTGGGAATAGCAGGTGCTGTAAGCTTGAATGTGCAGGTGGTATAATAGAAAATGGCACGGAATGAAAAATTGAAGAGCAGAGTTCAAGTTCCAGTCTGGTTTGTTATATTTGTTTATGCGAAAATACCCTTAGAAAAAGCATGAATCCATCTCTTCCCCAGTTATGGGTAAAATAGTAAGTCTTGTATCTGAAAAACATTATTATCTCCCCAAAACTGTTAATACAAATATTCACTAGCAAAAAGAAAAGAAGAATTATTCTTACAATCTGAAAATATGTTTCAGCTTTAAATAACCTACAAAAGGTTGATAACCTATAAAAAACAAAAAAATAAAACATATATATATATATTTTCCTCCTGTGAACCTTTTCTACAAATACACTGCAATACTAACTCCTACATATATGGTAGAATCATGAGACGAACTTACTAATCATTTTTGTTTATTGCCCAAAGCAAAAGTGTAAATAAACCCTTGTTACTGAATGCAGAGGTTGGGCCAGGATGGTGAGTAATTGGTCAGAATACCTTATAGGTATGGAATTCTGACAGTGATTGATTGCCTTTGTCTAAGTTTTATACATTAAACCAAAAGAGACCTAACTGGCAATCTAGTACTATGCTTAATTCATAAAGTCAAGATACTGCAGAAGACAGTGGGAAAAGGGCTGAAACTTAGATGCCAAGTCAGGACCAATAATATTGCAGATTCTTCTTTGGATTTTATCAAGAATCTCTAAATATATCGCAGGAACATCAGATCAGATCTGGTAGCAATATTCAAAACAAGGACGAATAGTAGACGACGTAAAATATGTAAGATAGATTCTGGCAAGAAAAATTGTCTAGCATGACACAGTGAACTGACTTTCTTAGCTGCAGACTTAGTGATTGATTCAATATAATCTTTTCACTTTATGTCAGCTGAAAACGTTGGTTTGAGAAGGTGTAATGAGTCACTTTGCTGGAGGTTAGCATCAGCCATACTGATGGAAGATAAAAAGGCTTCTCTCAGATGATTAAAAGGGAGCAGTTTTGTTTGTGAGATGTTAAAATTAACAAGCCACACCTTGCCGGAGTTAACAAGAAATTGAGGAGAATTTGCAAGAGAGGCATTTTGCAAAGCCCCAGCAAAAGTTAGAGAAGTGGAATCTTCAAAGAGAAAATAGTGTCAGAAACAGCTTCTAAATAGATATGGTTGTAAATAGTGATCTCATAGAATAATGTATAGAAAAAAAAGAAAGAAAAGGAGAAAAAGAAAAGAAGAAATACAAGCAGGCCAATTATTTTTTTATTTTTTAAACAGTATTACCCCAAGGCAAGGCAGTACAGCCACTAGTACACAAGGGGTTACAGGGTGTGAGGGAATTAGGAACAGAAACATTAATAATGAGGAGAAAGGGCAATTAGGTGGCCAGTAGATAGAGATTGGTATTGAATTTAAATTTTTGCAAATTAAAGTTGGTTGGAAAGCAAGGAGCCAGGAGGGTGTTCCACAAGTGAGAAGTGTGAGATAAGAAACTGTTAGCATAGAACTTATGGTGACATCTAGCCAGTTCAACTGTAAATTGATGAGATCTTGATGCCATTCTAGTATTGCACATAAATTCATACAGTCTAGGTACCATATCAAAGAGCTCATCTGAACAATTACCATGAAAGTATTTATAAAAAAGCTCAGAGAGGCAACCTTCTAGCAGTGAGCAAGTGACTGAAACCGAGCTGCCAGATCAGGACCAATAATATTACTGATTCTTCTTTGGATCTTATCAAGGAGCTCCAGGTAATTCACTAAGGGACAATGAAAAGACAAATCACACCAACAACTATAAAGGATAGGAAATTGTGGAGAACCATGATTTCCCACATACCGAAGGACATAGTGCATAGAGGCATAAAAAACAATTAGTTAAGATCAAGTGACAGCAAATGTCCTCAATTCTCCAGCATTCTCTTCAGAATTCTAGCTGATTTTAGTAATGAGTCGTTCCATCTCAATTCAATCAACAGCCATAGAGAGATCTAGAAAAATTCAGCCTTAGAGAAATCTAGTAAAATTCACTGGCGTTCCTTGATGAAAATTATTGAAAAATCCTAAATATTAAATGTATAGATCTGTATCTTTAATAGTTTTAAAATCAGAGAAATTCCACAGCATTTTTTTTTTGCTAAAATTAGTTAAAACCAGGAAATTGTCTCTTTTGTCAAATAAAGAATGATTGAAATGTAAATATTAAATTGTTTTCATTTTTTTTTTTGCTTGTTATTAAATATTACTAGAAGAAAATATTAAGCAACATTATTATTATTACATATGAAATATAAAAAAATTATCTTCTCTTGCTCCAGCTGCTATTGGACGATTCTATTACCTACTTTTAATGGTATAATCCAATTCATAATTATGTGCCAAATTTAGCTGAAGTCCAGGGAACAGTGCCCAAACTAGTTACAAGCGAGAAGGCCCGTCTCTGAAGCAAAGATATGTGTCTGAACCTTCCAGGTGCCCCTCCTTCCGCCGCAAGACCTTTGTTTGAATGACATAGTAATCAACTACTTCTAACTGAAATGTATTGGAATTGATTCAATTGTTTGATTATATAACTACTAAAAGTACGTTTTTCTAGCAACTCTCTTATTTCCCATTTTGATGTATATGTTATTGTTGTATATAAAATATCTTTAAACTATTCAATTGTCTCTTCTGGGCAAATACATTCGTTTTTACCGTTTTATGACTGCCTTCTAAGAAAGGAAAAACGTGTTACCGCTCTCAGAATCAAAGGTACCATCATGGACTTTCGAAAAAACAAACGAAAAACAACCGAAAAACGCAATTTAAATAAATAAATGGAAAAAAAAAATGTCTTTTTTAAAGTTAAACTTTTTATTTACAAGCTAATCAATTAATTTCTGCATGTAATTAAAGTTTTTTTAGGCATTTTTAAAACACTGGCACGTTCAATCATCCTACATTGACTTGTGGGGCTATTGAACGGCCTCAATTCAACCCGTATATTTTTATACATTACAAATGTGTCAGGAAACGAAAAGTAAACAAGAGAAACAACACAAAAACTGTTTTTATAATAAGAAACAATTTTCAATTTACTGTATGACATAGTTTGCAATCTAGTGTGTGATTTTCATATAGTAAAAGTTGTAATAATACAGTAGGAGTTATTTCCCTTTAACTTGAAATTCTTAAAGCCTTTTAAGAGGAAATATTTTTATCTGAACTCACAGAAAAGATTTCAGTTCATGAAATAATAGTAAGTTTCAATGGAAAGAATGTTATTTGATAAGAACGTGTTGTAAGCTGAAATTCGAAGATGAAGATGACTTCAACGAAACTTGTTGATTGAGAGAAAATGCAATCTTCATTTGAATATCAAAAAGTTGAATTAACTTGCCGCTTATTGCTGCTCACCAAAGAGAGATGAATATGAGCGAAAGAATTCTGGAAAGCTGAGAATATGTTAAATCGTAATTTATAGCTCAAGAACATTTTGAAGTAAATAAGTTTCTGTTGCTTGTAGTTGATAAGTTAAGAAATGTTCAAGGTTCGTATGTACGCGCGCGCACGCGCGTGTGTATGTCATAGCGTCTTCCCATGAGGGACAGGCGTAAAACTCCTCACTGGACTACATAGTTGTGGTTCTGAGAGAAACAGAAGAAAAAGAGAAAGAATTGAAAATGTCGCCTGGTATTTATAATGTTGTATGTCACGTGATAGGCTCGAAACACAGACAGATTTTTGGCGGAATTGTATTTTCGTTCAGGTCAGAAACTAGGTCGATACAATTCGGACGTAGTTGAAAACATGATATTAGTATTAATTGACTAATCAGAAGTCAGAGAAATATCAAGGCTCCGTGATTCACTTTTTGCACAAAATTGAACAAGTTATTTTCAGTTATCTGAAATGATGTAGAATTAAAATTCTACAGGCTCATCGAACTGCCATTATAGACAAAATATAAACAACAAATTTCTCTTAAAAACCAATATTTTATTCTGTATGTGGGCGAATGTTGTATTTTTTTATTTTTTAGTTAATGGGATTTCTTGAAACATTTAAATTACGGATGAATTTGAGAAAGATTTTTTACGTCGGCTGAGCCTACTTTTGCACAAAATTTGATTATTTTATGGAAATTTCTCGAAGGTTATTTTATATTTAACAACCAATGAAATTCAAGAAAATGTTTGAAATTGAAATGAGGGTTACTACAATAAAATATATAATTGCACCCACTGATTTAAAAAAAAAAAGATCTGAATTTAAGAAAGTGTATTAAAATAATGAAGTTGCTACGAACAAAAAAACCCGACAATGCTGGTAAAGCGTTATTGAATTTATAATGTTACTTGATTGCGTCCATTTTGAGTTCTTTATTAATTATTCAATGGCATCCAAGTGACGCCTTTATTTTTTATTTTGTCCGTAAAATTATTATAATCCTGTAGCGTCCTGAGTATGACGATAAACTACATCCGTGTCCTGGGTATGACGATAAACTACGTCTAACAACAAGGCCTCTGATATGTTTTTGAAAAAAATAATGTTGCCAGCTATACGTTTTTGAAAAAATAATATTACCAGCTATACATTTTTGAGGAAAAAATATTGACAGAAATGGATTTTTGCCAAAGAAAAAATATTACCAGAAAAAAAAAAGTTGTCGGCATTAAATGACCCATTGAGGTGTTGATATGCCGTAAAACCAAACAAACCAAACTATAATCCTGTATAACCAATAGTTTAATACAATTTTTTATTCTATATATGCTTTTTATGAAACCTAGTAGAATGATCAGAGGCGATAAATCAGAATTATTTCCCTTTTTTATAACTCATAGAGAAATAATCAAACGGTTGCTAAAAGAAAAAGAATAGAATTATTTTAAAGAATGTTTACATTCGAAAATGGCATTTAAACTTTACGTTTTTCGATTTTTCAAGCATGTCTTTATTTAATAATAAAAACTCTCTTGTAACGAACAGCAATGGAATAAAT